AGGACCAAGTTAAAGCATGGAAGCTGTATGGGGGTGGCTTGGGGCCCCAGCAGGTCTGGGCACAGAGCCAGGGCTTCCCGAAGCTCCCTCGCCAGGAGGCACAGGGAAGGGAATTCCAGCAGGGTGGAAGGGCCAGTGTGGAGTCATGGGAGAGGAGGCTACTTTCTCCTGTGGCCATGTTGTGGGGGAATCCCTGGGGGACCTCAGGATCCCCAATTCTGGGGCATACCCCCAACCTCAGGCCTGAGTATGTATTCTGCAACCCTGGGGGACCCTGCACTGGGAGGGAGGTTGGTTGGGATTGGCTTGTTTCAGTCTGAGTGACCTGTGGTGGAGACGCAGGCCCTTGATGGATGGTGCAGCCTTTTGGGGAGGTGGTGCTATTATGATTGTATGTGTGCCTTGCTCTCTGTCTTAATTTTGTTAATTTGTTTCTTTCATACTGGATTTTGACATCCAGGACCTTCACATCAAACTATACCCTGAGCCTTTTTAAAAGCATTTTTTATTTTGAGACAGGGTCTCACTATGTCACCCAGGCTGGGTTCAAACTCAAGATCCCCCTGCCTCGGCCTCCCAGCATGCTGGCTCTACATGTCTGCATCCCCATGTCAGGCTCATTCTGTTGATTTTCAAGTGGCACCTTAAGAGACACCTGTGCACATTGAACTGTTGCAGTGCTGGTCCCTTCCTTTGCCCTTCCCCTTGGCCATCCCCTCTCTGAGCCTCAGTTTCCCCATCTGTAAACCGAGGCAGGTGGATAGCTTGTCTATGAGGCCAACCTTGGCAACGCTTGGCAGAGGGTCTTCACACTAAGTCCCAGGCTCTCCTGGGGTTGGGATGTCCGCAGCGCCATCTGGTGGCCTATCATGGTCACGCAGCCCTGGCTAGGACCCGAAATTGGCTGTGTGTTGGGCGGGTCTACACGGGTGTGTGACGCGCTCCTCACGTGTACATGCGGAGCATCCCTAACAGCCAGTCCCTATGAAAATGCAGAGAGGTGAGCCCTTTCCGGAGCCTGCCTGGGACACCCCTGTTTTTACTGCATGTGGCTCCCCCTCCTCCCCTCTGCCTCCTGGGACTTCAGCAATTGGGATTGCAGCATGACGGCTCTAAGTGCGAATGTCCCAGCACAACTGCCACTTGCAGCTGTTTCCAAGCCCTGTGACACAACTAGGACACTGCTGTCCCTGCACCTTGTGCATGGCAGGTGTTTGATGAATCCATGAGCAATAAAATACACTCAGACCCGGCCAGCCTCTGCTCCTGGACAGAATGGCTGAGTGGGGATTTTCTGCAACTGGGTGGCTGTAGGGGTCGGGGGATCTGCTGCTGCCTCTCACGCGGTTATTGGGGTAACTAGTCCCAGGCACGACAGCCACGTCCACTGGTACACTGTGCCCATAGGGTTGGCTCTGTGGTACCATGGCAAGGAGAGTCCAGGAGCTTCAGAAGCTGTCAGAGATCTGGGTATAGTGGTGCACACTTATAATCCCAGCACTTGGGGGGCTGAAGCAGGAGCATTGCCAAGAGTTTGAGGGCTGTCAAGAGATTTACCAGGGGACAATGGCAGGGGTGCAGGGAGCCAGCCCTGCCACCAGCCCACAAGGCAGGCCTGTCCCTGACCGGAAGTGACCCTTGGTAACTAGGGGTGAGTGTTGCCTACCCTGACTGGAAAGGCTGGTGCTCTGGCCAGGACCAGCCCCGCACCTCTCTAGTGGCCACCACTTGTGGGCAGGAATGTGGGGCCTGTCGACCACTGGTCCCCAAGTCCCTGGTAGGGAGGGACCAGGCTGGGCTTGAGATTTGGGTTAGGGTCCCGCTGTCCATCACCTGAGCCTGCACCAGGTACCCCTCACCACTCCCTACCCCCGCCCCTCACATCCTCTCCTGTGTCTTTTCATGACTGTCTCACTGTTCTGAGTCAACTCAAAATGCTGACAGCAGTTTCTGACAAATAAGAACACACTGATGAGTCCTTGTCCATCTTGTTCTCGCACCTGACACTGTGCAGTGTCTGCCTCTTCCCCAGTCACAAGGGCCGTGAAAGGCAAAGGCTTTGAATCAATCTGAGGCATCACGGTAGCTGTGACAGCGAAACCAAAGACACTCAGGAAAGGCGATTTCCAGAACTGCTGCAGAAAGTGGCAGAAATCATGGGACGAGTGTGTTTAAGCAAGGGAGGAGATTCTGAGGCAGACTCATGGCAATGCGTCTTTTAAATTTAGTCATTCACCTTGTTTTTGACCACCATGGGCGTACATGTATTCTAAACAGAGGGAGAATGAGATAAATGCGATTCGAGTCAGCAGAAACAGCGTTGCCAAGCCAGGCAGAAAACATCCGATTAGAATCATCTGTGGTTATCTGGAATGGTTATATGTAGTTCATGTAACCAAAAAATGAGAGTCTACCAGAAGTGAGCAGGTAAATTTGAAAAAGACCACACAGAGAATGTCTAGAAATGACAATACTAGCAAAATCCTAAGAATGTGTGGCAGGGCTGGGAAACAGAAGCCTGGACTGGAGAGGGAGCCCTGGGGAACCAGAACATTCTGGGGACACTGTAGAGAGAAGCACAACAAAACAATCCTGTAATTTAGTACCCTGAGGGTCACCTCCCAGAGTGCACACGGATCTGTCCCAAAACACAATGTGCAAGAGCTTGAGAACTAAACTACAGGGTAGACCGTCACTCAGGTCCCAGACTGGTCGTCTGTCTTGCATGTGTGAAACCTACCTAAATGGCATTGAAGGAAGCTTGGAAAACTGAGCTGATGTTGGAACCAGAGCCCACAGAAAGTGAGCTAGAACTTACAACCTGGAGCTAGTCTAAGTCTACTGCCTGTTAAAATCAATCAATTGAGAGATCAATCAAGAGGTTGGTAAACCAATATCTTCCTTAGCGTTTAAATGAGACCTACCATCTCATAATAATATTTCAAATGTTTGTCTAAAAGTTCTTGAGATGTTGCCCAGCATGGTGATACTCACCTGTAGTTCCAGCTCTTGGAGACTGGGGCAGGAGGATTGCCAGGAATTCAAGGCCAGCCTGGGCTACATAGCAACATCCAGTTTTTAAAAAACAGAACAGAACAGGAAGTATAGAGAGGAACCAAATTGTAATAATAGAGCTGGAAATTAAACAACAAAAGATGGACGGGTTCAAGAGCAGAAGAGAATGGATGTGAAAATAGACCTACAAGAAAAATCTGAACAACAGAGAGAGAGAAAGACTGAGAAAAGCTTGAACAGAATCTCAGGAAACGGGGACAAGACCAAATGACAGATACTCATGCTATCAGAGTCCTAGAAGGTGCGGAGAAAGCACAGTCCGAGAAATAAGAGCAGGACAAGAATGGCTGGAAACGTCTCAAAATTACAGGCTCAAGGAGCTCAGTGAACTTCAAACAAGGTAAGTTTTTTGTTTAATTACACTCTCAGGCATATGATAATCCAGCTTCTTTAGAGACAAAAGTGTCTTCGAGGCAGTCAGAGAAAAACGAAACCCTTGTCAGTGTCTCACGGAAACCATGCAGGTGAAGAGGAATGAAACGTTATTTGTGAAGTGCTAGAAGAAAAGGCTCCAGGCTGCAGCTGGACACCCAGTGACAACGTCCGTCAGCAAGGGGCTGACGTGAAAGCATCCTGACACCAAGGCGAGCTTGGAGACTGTGTTGTTGGCACTGCCAGCGGAAGCTCCTCCCGTGGAAGCGAGGTGACATCAAACAGAGACATGGAGTGACAGGAATGGAGGGTGAAGGGCAGGAATAGGAAGGGTCTGGGTAAATAGTCTGCTTCACTCATCTCAAATATGATGGATGCTTGAAAACAAAAATCCTGGCATTGTTTGATGAGGTTTTCAATGCAGAGCAGATGTATAATATAAAGAAAGGAGGACCAGTGGGCTCCTGTGATGGGAAGCGGGCCACACTCCACTGGAAGTGGAAAGTATTTATTCCGATATTTGCACTAACCGTGGAAAGTTGAGAATATGTTAAAATCTAGAACAACCACCAAAATACTTTACAAACACATGTAGTAAAGAATACAATCAATAAAATCGAGAATTAAATCATAGATGTGGACAATGAATAAAGGGGTATTTTACGTGGTAAAGAGCTCCTCACCGCTGAGGTACTGGGGATTGAACCCCAGGCCTTACCCATGCTAGGTAAGTCCTCTACCACTGAGCCGCACCCCCAGCCTGGTTTCAGGTCTCCAGAGGGGCTCTTGGGAAGTGGTCTCCTCAGGTAGGGGTGCTGCTGTGTTTGCTGTGGGCCTCACCTGTCGCTAAAGTAATAACATCAGCCTACCAGGCCACCTTCAGGTATCAAGGTAAACCCGGGCATGGAAGAGGAAGCTGCACCCAGGGCTTTCTGATGCCTTCCCTGCTTTGGGAAGGTCTGTGGCAGGAACTGATGGTCCCTGTGAGGAAGTCATCCTCAGGATGAGAAGAGGGGCTGGGAGTATGTGGGCACAGGCGGCCCTCAGGAAAGGGACCTTGGCCGTCCCACTGCCCTCAGAGCAGGGATCCAGCAGGGGGGGAGGCGGCTCCTTCTGGGATTCCAGGACCCGGGTGTGCCTGGTTGGGAGGCGATGGCGGGGAGGAAACCACTACTCCGGATGCGACATGTGTCTCTTGGGTTCAGTGAAAGGTCAGACTTGGATGCCGAATCCATTAGGAACTGTGTTCTAGGTGAGTACCCAACTGAAATTAGGGCTTTCCCTTTCTTGGAAGGGGCTTTCCTGGGAGTCTCACCCCCAAACCCCCTCGATTCTCACTGACTCTCCTACCACCCATGGGGAGCAAGAGGGGCTGGGAAGTGTCCCCAAAGGCTCCACGCCAGCTGCTCTGGGCTCCCTGTGGGTAATTTTGGAAGCGTTGTCCCAGGATGGGGCCCCCACCGGGGTGTCCTGGAGGACACCTGCCCTCTTCGGGATACGGTACACAGAGCCGCCTGCAGGGGGAGCCCGCGGGCCCAGGCCGCAAGAACTGACCGAGCCGCAGGCGCCCCCCAGCAAAGTGACACTTCTGTCCCGGGCAGGGGCACGGCCCAGGCAGGGCCCCCGGAGTCCCCGGCGGGGCCGAGGGCTGCAGCCTGGCCCTCTGCAAACCCAGCGCGCTTCCCTGCCAGCAGCTCGCCTGCTCCAGCCAGGCCCAGGGCACAGGGCCGAGCCCCGCCGACGCGAGCCCCGAGCAGCTCCGCGGCCTGTGCCCCAGGTGCTCTGGCGCCACGTGCCGGCCTCCGGGTCTGCTTGGGGGACACCGAGACCCTAGGGCCGTCCTCTTCGCATTTCCAGGTCTGCAGTTCCCAGAGGGTGCTCCGGGGTGGGGGAAGCATCAAACCAAGCAGAACGTGCACCGCGTGTTGTCCAAGAGCAGCGCTGGAAGGTGGGTGCCTGACTCGCAGGAGGAGCAAAGGGACGCGCCGTGATCCTGGGGCTCCGCAGGCGGGGTTGGGGGTCAGGCCGGCCCGCCCTGGAGCAGCGCGCCCTTGCTGTCTGCCGGGGCTGGGGGCCCAGCCCCCCCGGCCCCCTCCCGCGCCCCATGCTCTACCCTGCAGGTCACAGGCACAGAGGGAACCGGTGTGTGTGTGTGGGGGGGGGGTGACCGCAGGCAGGACAGCAGGGCAGGCCGGTTCTGTCACTGCGGGAGCCTGGTGCTCCTCACCACGTCCTGCTCAGAGGCGCCCTGCGGAGGCCTGGAACGTGAACAGGGAGCAGGCCACATCAACTTTGCTGTGACTGCGAGGTATTGCAAGCTCGGTGAGAAATTCTGGCCTTCAGACCCCGACAACCGATGTCCCCTCCCATGGCCATGGTTCAGGCAGCAGAGGTCCCCACTTGGGCTGGTCACTGAGGCTCAGGCAGCCCTGCCTCTCTGACCGTGGGACCCAGGGGTACCGATGTCCCCTGCCTGGGGCGCTTTAGGAGGGTGAGGAAGGGCATCCGCCTAAGGCTCTCTTCCTGGCTGCACTTAGCGCTCCCGAATGCCAGGAGATTTGTGTTAGATGATTTTGCCTAACAGCAGACAATGTGAGGGTCCCGAGCACGTTTAAGGTACGCAAGGTGATACAGTGGGACATTTTCTCCCCTGCCCCTTTCTTTCTAGCACTGGGGATGAAACCCAGTACCTTCTCAGCCCGCTACCTCCCCAGCCCTTTGGTTAAATTTTGAGATAAGATCTCACTAGGTTGTTAAATTGCCTGGCGAAGGCCTGAGCTTGCAGTCCTCTTGCCTCAGCCTCCCCGAGTGCTGGGGTTACAGGACTGTGCCATTACTCATGGCTTTGAAGTGCATTTTCTTCTTGCAGTGAGTTTCAGGGCTTTCTCCCATCATAAACTGAGGCATCAGAAACTGTCTCTAGAAGCCAGGCTGAGGGCATCACTTGAGGCTGTGGAGAGGAGGGAGTGCCGGTGGCCTCCATAGGTCCAGAAGGTACAGGTGGACCCCTCCCCTTTTCCCATTGTGTTTACTGAGTCCTCACACAAGTCCCCCAGTATCAGTTTCTTCTATCTGGAATGTTGACAGAATAAGTACTTAGGGAACTGAGGATAGCAGTGTCCAAGTGTAACCCTGACACTCAGGAGGCTGAGGCAGGAGGATCCCTTTGAACCCAAGAGTTCAAGGCCAGCCTGGGCCATACAGTGAGATCGCAATCTCAAAAAAGTTTTTAAGAAGTGCTTAGGGCTCAGGCTCTCTCCCTGGGCACAGCATCTTAAGATCACGACGTCCCTTGAGATGCTTAAATTCATGGTACAAAAAGGATTTATTCACTAATGGAAGAAAATGTCACAGGTCTTTAGCAGTTACGCACAGGACTGGAACAAAAGGCAGTATTTCTCCTTGACTTTTTTCTAGAATGGGGAATCTCCTGTGTATGCCCAAATTCAGCACGTTTCAGAGGTGGCCCATTTATCAGTGCCCCTTGCTGGGGCTGGGAGACTGGGATGCTAGTGCGACTTGGCCAGGACCTGCTGTGTGACCCTGGACAAGTCACTCACCCACCTGGGCTTCACTTTTTCCCTGCACACTGTGGTCAGAATGTGAGCTGGAGGTCATCTAAGGCCCTCTGCAGTCCTGGCCTTCAAGGGTGGACTCAGTCCCTGCCAGGACCCGAGTGGCCCTTCCCTGCAGTCTCCCCGCAGCCTGCACCCTGCCCGGGGAAACCACCAGTGGCCAGGTGGAGGAAGTGTTCCTGGCTCTACCCGAGATGCTGCCTCCTATGGGCTCCCCAGTGCAGGCCTCGAGCCCCCAAACATCCAGGCTACTAAAGCAATTTCATAGAAACTAATGAAGCTCCCTTAGCTGGTCCCTGGCCCTGAGTGCTTGGCATCTGTTTCCCTTTAAGGGTCCAGGCTGCGACTGGGGAGGACATGGCCGGAGGGGAAGAATTTTCCAGGGAGGGACAGGGACTGTCCAGTACCCCCGCTGGCTGGGTAGTAAGTCTGGAGGCAGGAGGTGCTCTGAACCCCGAACCTGAACCCCAGGAGAGAGGCAGGTGCCAGTCCCGCAGCCAGCTCAGAACCCAGAGGACCCCTTTGGGATGGCACACGCTTGTTGGGGTCTTATTGGGGTCCTACTGGGCCTCCTGAGGGAGCTCATGTCACCATGAGAGGGTGTCACCTGGGCTCACACCTGAGTGTCAGCTTTGAACCTCTCCTTCAGGAGAGGATGGGGGTGCTGAGGCCCAGAGAGGTGAGGTTATAGCCCCAACTGGCCTGGAACTCACAGCAGTCCTCCTGCCTCAGCTCCCGAGCAGTGGGATTCTCAGACGGGCATGGATGCTGCTGGCTTCTGTGGATGGTCGTCGCATGTACCCAGTAGCATGCAGAGACAGCTTCAGCAGGCAGATGTTCACACCCCTGAAGAACATTCGGGGGACTGCTTGTTCTCAGTCACCACTGTCACCGGGAGACCTTGCCCAGCTGGCCTGGGGCTGCTGCCTCCATCCCTCCTGCCGCCCCTCAGCCTTCTGCTGTTGTCTCCCAGGCCCCAGAGCTGAGCTGCTTTGCAGAGCTCAGGGGTAGGGAGAGATCGCTCCCTCTGGCCTCCATGGCAGGACCACAGAAAGTATTCAAAGCTCGTAGCCCAGAATGCACAGCTCCCAGCGCCCGGCCTGGCAGCAGCCACGAGGCCTCCGCTGGCTCCCAACCTGGACTCCTGCAGCTCTGCCCCTCAGCCAGCCCCAGCGCAGCCTGCAAGGCAGTTCCTGTCTTTTTTCCCTTCAGGAAATGAACCAGAAGGGGCTCTGAACCCTGCAGCTCCAGAAGCACTGGGGGTTGCCTGAGCAGTGGGATGGAGGTGGGGAGCAGCAGGACCTTGCTAGATCCCTCCGCAGCTCGCACAATTCTCTGTGAACTTGTCCCCATCTCCCATGTTTGCTAAAAGCCGTCATGGAAGAGACTGAAAAGAACAGAAGTCCAAGGCCAGTTGCAGGCAGACGCAGTGTCCAGTGAGGGGTACGTCCTCGGAGAGAGCCGTTTTCTCTCTGTGGCCATACATGGTAGAGGGGCAGGGGCCTGTCCTGGCCTTTTTTTGTTTTTCCTTTTTGGGGGCTGGGTCTTGCTATGTGGCCCAGGTTGGCCTTGTACTCACAGAGATCCTCCTGTCTCAGCCTCTCAAGTGCTATGATTACAGGTACGCACTGCCAAGCCTGGCTCTGGGCTCTTTTATAAAGGTGCAAATCCTAGTTATGAGAGCTCCACCGTGGCAACCTAAGCACCTCCCAGAGCCCAGCATCACATCGTGACCTCAGGGAGGAGGGTTCACATCGTGAATGAAAAGCGGTGCCCCAAACCTTTCGACCTCCACGCCCTCCTCTGAGTGACTTCTGCTTTTCAAACCCACAGATGGGCCCAGCAGGCCCCTGAGCTAACATATGAGTACTGAAAACCGAGGCCTCCACCGGACTGCGCTTCCAAAGCCCCTAGACCACAGCCTTGGCACTGAACAGCTGCCGGGCGCCTCCTACCAAGGAAATCACCAGCTGCTTACCGTTCCCAGGAGGGACCGGAAGTGGCACTGTGCTGTCCCCCAGGGGCGGTGCTCAGGCTCACCTCAGCCCCAGAAGCCCTGTTCAGAGGCCTTGGGACAGACACCTCCCACTGGCTGCTGCACGCCTCCCGGTTTAATTCACACGAAATGCGACCCCATCACTCAGATGGAGCGCCTGGCCTTGGCCGGGGCGCAGGTAATGATGATACGGGGCTCATTTCTGCAAGATAACCCTTTTATCACATTTTGTGACTCATTCGTGAGGCTCATGTCCCCCCCCCCCCAGGGCGTCATCAAGCAAGTTAAGTTGAACTATTTCCCTCCCGCGGCGAGCTGGCGGGAGTCCCCCTCAGTGACGGATGAGGCCCGCTGCCTCCACCAAATAGGGCCGGCGTGATGGATCTCTTCCTTGTGAATATTATAGCTGGAAATTAGCATGTTTATTGAGGTAGAATGTGTTTGTTTACATCCCACTACCCCCGGCATTACCTCTTATGACCTGACTTATTTAGTTGAGGATAAGCACAAATGATCCTCGCGTTGGCACCCACGAAAAATTAATGAACTTCCAGAGAGAGGGTGCAGACTTAAGTAAATGCGGCGGCGGCGAGGTGAGGGGGTGCGAGGGGCCCCGAAGGCCTCTGGGGCTTGAGGAAGAGGAAGGCGTACACATTGGCAGAGAGGGACGCGTGGTGAGCATTTTCCGGGCTCCCCTCACCGTGGGCTCCGTGTCTGTCCCCGTGTGCGCACCGGGCAAACGCTCACTCATCCCACAGCCTCTCTCAAAAAAGAGGGCGTCGGTTTTGAGCAGGGAGGCCTTATCAGCCAGGGGTAGAATCCGTTAGCTGGAAACCAGAATCAACAAGCTGAGGCTTAACCAAGATAAAACACAATACAAAACCCAAAAGAGGAGACCAACTTCCTCCTAGGCACTGTGAAATCCGGGTTGTTAGGGACGAGAGACAACTGTGAATGACTCTGGCAACTCCTGTCTTTGCTGCCATGAGGTGGTTTCCACCTTCAGGGTCACCTCAAAATCACAAGATGGCCACTGGAGATCCAGCCATCATGACTGAGTTCTTGGTGGGAGAAAGGAGGAAGAAGGAAGGGGCGCCTGCCAGCTGAGGTCGCCCTCTTTCCTGTTTACAGAGAAAGAAATGGAGGCTCAACAGTGTTAGATAAGGACAGCTCCATTTTCAGATCCTTTAAGTGTCGGAGGGTGTCACACTGTTTCTGATCTGGGCTGTGAGCTGTGCAGTGACCCAGGGGCACCTGCAGTGTCCGCTGGGAGTGCTGCAGGCTGCCCAAGCAGCCCGGCGACAGCCTGATGCCACCCGGGCTCCCGCTCCCCCCACCTGGCCAGCCTCCCGCTCAGCTCCTCACCCCAGCCAATTA